TTTTGTCGATGACGTTACTCAAAACATTCCATCATGCAAAGATGATAATAAGAAGTTGCATTTGCTTATCAAAATAAGTTTTTTTTTTTTACCTTAGATATTGAATAAGCGTCTCACTTATATTTTTTTAAGATGATTCACCTGAGAGTATCAAGAATGAGTTATCATTGACATAATTAGTTTTTTATTTAACTTCTTAACGAGCAGTTACGCACTTGTAAATAAATTAGGTGTGCTCATGGCAAGTAATAAGGAAGAATTCGGAACATTTCTATGAAGCTTGAGAAATCGTTGTATCATCTTGCCTTAGAACATTATTGATCTAATTGTATAGGCCATAGTTTGATCAAATAAACCGGAGGAAGATCTCCTTTTATAAAAGTGCAGGCGCTGGATCAGAAGCTATGAGCATGAGAGAAGAGTGATGTACATCTCCTCAATCTTCATGCATATATATTCAAAACCATAATAATTGAACCTTTGGATGAGAAGAAGTACAACCTAGAGTCTGAAGAACATATGGGTGGGCTCGGTGTCAAAGCTCCGAGTAACGACTTGACAAGGAGTCTAGGATTCAGCAACGAAGAATACTTTTCGTTACCTGAAACTATGGACATAGACGAAATGTGTACAAGAATAAAGAGTGTGTCCATTGTTTTACAGATAACGAAACACTAGCTAGTACAACACAACAACCATACTAGAATTAGGTTCTTTGGATTCTCTTGTTGCTTATATGCCGGCCATCGATTAATATATCTAAAGTGTATGAAATATCAGGTGATGTGATATTATCGGAGCTGGCCCATGCTTACATGACTTTAGTTCCAATTATGTTTCGCATGCATGCAGGACTGTTTTTATCCTTCTTGCTATCTACTTGCCCAGTCTCTAGGAAAATGGTGTTTCATCGCGCTTTTGATCCACGGGCCTTCATTTTGCACTAAGTGCAAAAATGAAGGAATATTGGATATTTTTAGAAGGACCGAATAAAAGAGCGCCATGAAGCTTTGGTTACTAGTCCGAGTGAAATAGATTAAAAGTAACGTATGGTCAAACTCCAAGATCGGAGCGCATGGGAAGGCGTTATTCACGAAGTGGCAACGAGGGAATCCGCGGCAAGTTCAAACTGTGGTCTTTCAAAGTGCGAAGCGGGGCCTTTGAGAGAAAGCGTTCCCGGAGGCCATGGAAGTAAAACTCGGAGCGAAGAAGAGCCACTGCGCCAAACCAGCGCCGAGGGCTCAATTGACTGCGATCGAGCGCTGGACTTCAACGGCCAAATCTGCAGAGTGCAAGGGATTTGCCTATCTGGTGCATTTTGACGTGGAAAGGCTGCTGGAATGATGAGAAATCGCATTGGGGCAAGGACGTTGACAATTGTCGCCTCGTGACGAGCTGAGCCAACGCACCCAATGCAACTAACAGTGTCACGATATTTTTGCGTGCCTCCTTAGTCTCCCCGATCGCCTGTGGACAACGAGTTGTCCGACTTATCATTACTATCCGGGAGCGTTATCAAGTTTGCGCCGGTCTTGAAGGACAGAGGTACAAACTCTTAAATACAACTCGTACAAGCTCAGTCAAAGATAGCGCTGTGCTAGAAGATCGTAATCATCGCCCATCTTACCTGGAAAAATGGAAATATTTTCTCTTCCTGGTTAATTGAACTCACTAACAGAAAAAAAATGAAAAAGCAAGCATGGAAGTTGCGAGGGAACCATATTAGCAAACGTCAGTAGTGTGCTCTGTAAGTTCATGCATGATATGAACCTGGTCGAATGCCTTTCTTTTTTAGGTGCAGCGCACGTCGGTTCTTTCGCTCTTGCTTCTATGGTGAGTATTTTCTGGCCCTTGAAACAGATCAAGATACTGAAGGTCTTTCATGGTTTTTTTCGGGGTTTGCTTTCTTTCATGAGAAGAACCGCCTTTTTCTGACTTCCGCGTTCTAATCGATTAAGACTTTCATCCTTTTAGGAGTTTTGAGTTCTATCTCAGTGGATGGCAATAATCAGCTGACAAGACTCGCAAGAGTCCGACTTCTCAATCAACACTCATTCCTTCACTCAGAGTCGCATATAATAGTTGCGAAAAGCCTGTACAAGGCAGTACAACCTAGGAATATGTATGCTTGTCATCAACTGCCGAATGCCTGCTAGATATTGGTTCTGAAGGTATTTTATTATTCCTCTGATACAATATGTTTAGCATGTCCAACAGAAGACAGAACATGCACGAACGAACATTGGGAACATAAACCACATGGCCCCAGCTACTTGGCGGTGGACCATAGGAAGTAGTACTACCGAGGATCAAAATGCCGCACCGAGCATGGACGTAATGTGTGAAAGTGGTAATCATAGGAATACACTCAACTGCCGTTTTTTTAGCCTACTTGGATCTACATAATTCACCCTTTAAGCTCTCAAAGACGCATCACATCTTAGTCCAGCGAAATCAGTCATATCAATTTCCTAAGGAATGAAATGTGGACTTCTGAAAAGTACAGGACAGGTAAAAATTTGGCATGATTTATTTAAGCAGAAACCTAATCGTTCAGCAACAATAGGGCGATTCACAACAACCCAGTAATGGGGTCTTCCCTTCCTTTTGCTTTATTACTCGGTGCCCGTTATACGACAACCCGGTAATAGTTACAGAGATTCCCTCTATTACCTTAACGGGAACTGCGGTCCCAAGAAATGTACGGAGATGGACTGACCCCGCAGGAACGTAACATGTTACGGGGAAATGAAATTCGATATTACATGCCAAAAATACACGTAAGAAAAGAGGTGCTTATCACTGAAACGACGATTAACTGGAATAAGGGCTTCTGTCCTTGAGCATTCGAACACTTACGGGACTGTTGTGAAAAGTGCTTAAATAATTTATCCTTACCATCTTTCTGTCCTTGAGCATTCTCATACTTACGGGACTGTTGTGTGAAGTGCTAAATTGATTTATCCTTACCATCTTACTTCGCTATAAGGACTCCATCTTCGACCTTTTATTTGTGCCCGCCCTCCCCGCTCCAAGTCTCCTTGACGCGCTTCCCCAATGCCTTCCAAGCTCACTTCTTTATGACTGCCTTATAAGGTGGGTGTTCCACTCTGGAAATGTCAGAGAATCGGCATCCACATAGCTGACAGCCAGCTAGCTAGCTCACTCCGGGATGTTCTTGATTCGCTTAGTCGTCTTATTGTGTGTGTAAGGCTGTTTGCAGAAGGACAGGACCAATCGTTAAGCAATCACCACCATGATCTTTTCATCAATTCCATATGAACTTAGTGGGGTGAAGTATACCGCAGTTAGATTATCCTGAATAGACAACCTGCGTCGTCAGGTGCCCAATGTCTACTCACCCTACGAAACCAAGTGTTAGAAGAGCTCTTAGTCTCCGTTAGCAATAAACGGTTCCGGTGCTAGATCGGCAACTTGTGAACTCCGTAATTATATCTGTTTCCCTAGTTCTCGATTGCGTACCGGAGCTCAGCAATCAGAAAGTACTGCGCAGCTGTTTACCCACATACTTGCTAGTTTGGTCTCTGCATCCACGGGTACATTCTCCCATGAAACGAAACGACAGATTGGTAAATACAAAGAACAGGGTTACAGTTGTACTTTGCCTACAGATTCATCCTAAGTGACAACAATGCTGCCTCATGCATACTTCTCTTTGATGAGGTGGGTTGTTCTCTTGAAGGCAGAACTACCTGTCAGTGAAGTTTTAATTCTGCCACATGCTTTTTGTCAATCTGCCATCGTCTCTACTTGACAGCTTTACTGTGGCATGCTTTTCCCGAACGTCATATATCACAGCGCCTCGGTCATTCACGCTTGCGTGCGTAAGTTGTCAAGATAGTACATTCGGCTCTTTCTGGGTCACTTTATTGGGTATACCGAAATAAAGCACCTTTTGCGTAGCAAAATTGCAAGCTAGATGATGCATGGTAGCATTTCATGATACGAGAAGGAGAGATGTATTTTTACTTTCCAGGATTACTTCACTCGCGACGACAGTTGACTTCCGTGAGATAACCCATGGTTGTCTGCTCTTTTAGATTTGACTCGAGCGACAGTTGCCCCTCGCTATCTGCTCTGACACTTTTGTCTGCCGGGATGATGGCAATGACGAGAATGTGGTCTGCCCGCTAGGGCAATTCATTATGAAATGGATATTCTTCCGGGGCAAGAATTCTGAGCTATCAGTCGAGTTCCAGTCTAGCTTGGAAAAAAACGAAAGAGAGTTTAGTTTCCGGCAAAGGACTTCGTAGTTGATTCCCTCTCTGATCTTATAAGTTTTGATTACCGGATAGAATGCGTTACAACTGCTGCAAGCGGCCAATCGTAAGGTGAGAAGCTAAACTTCGAAACGTCCAGAATGAAATCAATCTTCTCCCTTTGACTTGAGATGTAGTTTGGGCCCAGGATCTTGCAATAGTCATGGAGAATATTTTCAACTTTGAAGTACTTGGCTTCCTCTGAACTACGTGCTGTACAAGCATCGTGGCATTTTCTGGAATATGGTTCTCTCGGAATGTAACTACTTCATGTTTCACTATGAATCGACACTTTTGACATGATTTCACCAGTTTACTTGCAAACCGCAGCCGATGGTGCGTACCGATTATTACGAGAACCGTGGTTGACGAAATTTTACGACTGCGAGTTTAGACATATACTCCTCACCATTTTCAATTGAGACATGTGTTGGCGGGTATCTGGGTGTTACTGTCAAATTGTACAGGATAGAGACTGAACTTAACGATCAGGTTTGACTTTGTTACGCGATAACTTCCCTCCGACTTTAATTCCACCTAACTAAATTGATTGTAGAGGAATTGACAAATCCTTCACCGAGGGAATGCACACAAATTTCAGCATTTAAGGAGTAAATCCATGACCTCGCTGAATCGCTGCACTTCAGGCGTAGAAGAATAATGTAGCTGCGAATAATATAAGAACAATACTTCGACATGCATGACGCGGAGACAGACAAATTTGTTAAAACTTCTTCGATGAATCAATGGTGTATTTAAAATGCATTTGCCAGTATTATTTCCTAGTCTAAGTAATCATTTTTCCGGTTCATATATACAGTGTTCGATTGTTTTCTCCCAACACGTAAGAGCTGGGCAGCTTTGCTACGTCTGTGTGCTGAGAGTAGGATAAATTGTACCACCTCTCAACGTAGACAGGTGGAGACATCTGCCTATCTCTATGATCGAGAACTTAAGAATGTGTTGCCACTTTACAGTTTTCATCTCGTCGTATGTGAGTTACTGACAATCTACAGTTGGTGGATTAACTCGGCGAATCTCGGCATGTAGTCAGCTCGCAATCCCAATGAGATTGATAAGCTTCCATCATTGACAGGGCTCGGGAGAACGTAGCACAGTCCATCGTAGGCTATGACAGCAGGTCCCATGAAGATTGGTCTTCCCCATCCGAAGTCTGCCTCGTAAAGGGGCAATCGAGCCCAGCTGGTGATGCCTAGATTTGGACTCCTGAATGTATGCGCACCTCTGACCAACTTGGACAGATCGGGCTGCATTTCTAGGTAGTCCAGCGCAGATTTCAAGTAATCGTCGTCCATCCTGGCGACGCACTCGTGGATTTTGCTGGCTCCAAAGTGCGTCGGATTCTCCAGAAGTTCGCCGGCCGTGGTGATGGGGGTGGCGGTGAAGATGACATTTCCGAAGTATCCTTTCGGCAGAGGCGGGATAATCCTCGACCTTCCATCGGTGGCTATGTACAATTTAGACTGCTGAGATCCCTTAATACCACGGGCCTCACTGACGCATCTCCAAATGTGAGCTGATAACATCTCGTACGTACTGTAGGGGACTTGATTCCCTCCTTCCATGGCTTTCTTCTTCAGGGTGGTGAGCTGCTCCCTGGTGAATTTGAATACCTCCACAGCCATGGGTGGAACTATCTCGACATGCGGCGACTGGGCGGAGGTTTTGCCCTGGACCTCGTCGATCCCCTCGGAAGGAAAGACTTTCTTGTCGTCAAATTTAGTACCGTGCCCAGTGGCAGAGCTGTCGTTGCCGGAGAAGTTCTTCGAGGGGGTCAACATGCCGCTCAGGAAACCAAGCAATCCACTCCCCTTCTTCATGGAGTTTCCCAGAAAGCCCAGCACTGAGGGCCTCTCAGCGCCACTTTCGGCCTTCTTCTCTACGCAGCTGTATCCGACAATCTGCTCATCATGGAAACCATTGGCCTTCGCTGTTCGGTTCGCAGCAGGGGCCCCACCATTCTTCAGCAAGCCACCAGATCTCTTGGCATCTCCACTTCCGATGGTAGTGCCATGAGGGCTTCCGTCAGTCTCTGCGCCTTGCAAGGTTGGGGGAGCTTGGTACTCCACATGGTGATACTTGGGACAGGGAGGATTCCGGGCCTTCAGAAGAGTGCGATCAATGAACGGGGCCACCTTCAGGCTTTCGCCACGAGCCATGTCAGCGATGGTGTTAATAAAATGGATTCCGGACATGCCATCGGCGATATGATGCTGCATGCCGACTCCGAACGCCACTCCTCCGCAGTTGAAGTGAGTAACCTGCACAAAAGCACAAAAAGAAGCTGAGATGCGGAGCATGCATCACTCGCCCGAACAAGACACAATTTGGTCCAAGCTTGCAAGACTCCACTTTCGAGGCAGCCAGCAGGAGACCGCATCTACGCTGATTAATGTAACCGCGAGAGCTGGGCCCTACACATTGATCAGCGTGTTCAAGGCCTGACAAAAGCCGCGTTCCAGTGATTGGCGTCCACTCGTCTATGCACTGAACGTAGTTATGGAGTCATGCAACGGCCTCGCACCTACAATCTCGACGCTACAAGCGCAAGAGGTTTCGCCATGCGCGCTCGTGAAGAGTGAACAGGGCCCAGTCTGTCGTGTTCAATCCAGATCGGAATTGCCAGAAGAGACGCTCGTTCTTGTTTCAAGATCGAGCAGTCGGGAATACGCTGACAATTTGGATGCGACCACGACCGCGTGCAAGGCCGAGGCGCACTGCGCCGCGATGCCCCCCGGCAAGACACGACGAGGCCATCGTCATAGTCCGCCTCTCGTGACCGCATGCTACGATTCCTACAGAGACCATTCAGAGATCTGAAGATCTGGACTCTAAAAGATGTGACGTCAACGTGGTTCCGCCATGTACAGCTAACCCGGTGCAGCATTTCGGGCACGCTGATGCATGACTCAGAAATTCATGTCCGGGCTCACGAGAAAAAATCCAAAATTTCACATTCCGGGCAGTCCGACAACATTGACGAAAGACGAATCGGCAGAGAGGAAATGAGCACCTGTAACACGAGCAAAGGGTAGGAGCTGATGTCGCCCGAGATGTCCAGCTTGGGCACCAGCTGCTGGAAAGCGGGCTGAGGGGCAAAATTCCCGAAGTCGTCAATGCAGGCGTCTGCTTGCGCCTCCACGAGCAGGACTCCTTCGCCATTACAGTTGATCTCAATTCTACCATCCTCCGCCGACTCCCGCAGTCTGGCGGCCATGGGATAGAACGGGACGAGAGCCTTTCCGAGAGCTTCCTTCATGACCTCCCCCGAAAAGAAATCTGGACTACCATTTGGCCTGTAGAAATAAACGCTGGCCACGTGAATCCTCGGAATAACCAAGTCCACGTTGGAGTTCCAGATGGGCCCCGTGGGAGTTTCTCCCAGAGGGCGCACCATTGTCGAGTCCCGTATGGTCACCTTCATGGCTGAGTACTCTGGAAGATCTGTCAAGAACAGCCATCACGACGGTAGCGCAAGTTAGAACGTCGAGCACAGAAGCCAGCCCCGGTCGCCGTGGAGAACACAGAGACGTCATTATCGCCAGGATGCCGAAGTTTCGCGGCCCGAAGGGCAAACAACAATGATAAAGCACCGATCTAAGGACGGCAATGCATGGATCTAGCTCGAAGGGACGCAAGAGCGCGGGGAAGCAAAGCTGACTGCTAGCGCAAGCACTGGTGCAAAGATCGCATCCGCTGGAGATGCTAGGGGAGGAATGCAAGGGCCCGTGGACCGGCCACAGGACATTGCGAACGCAACCCCGAGCACCCACAGCGCGGAGAGCATGCACACTGGCACAATGGACGACAAGAACATGGGGAGCGGAGATGAGATGAGCTTGTCGTCGCGAGGGGGGAGGAGGTGAGACAATGTGAGCAGGTCAGTCACCTCCAGAGATTTCAGAGAACCCAGAACACATCGAGCCTGCCATCGCGAAAAAGCCTTCTGCAAGTCAGTGAATCCGTGCTGTTCGTGGAGGGAGTCTTCCCATACGGAAGTGGGGCTGTGCGGGGTGCCCAAGAGTACCAGAGGCCGGTTGGGCAGATGCAAGACAGAAAGATGGGAGCCGGGAGAGTGGTGCCTGGAACTTAAGGCCCTGGGGCAGTCAGGCCCAAAGCGGAGTTTTACCCGCCAGCTGCGACCGTAGGGGGAATGCACAGCGGGTTCGACTCAGGCAGGATGCGCAGCGCACCGACCTCTCGCGCTCTCACAGGTGGAGGCGCCTGGGACATCAGACGGCAGCAGGACTCATGTAGGAGTGTGCTGGGGTTGGTGACATTCCGTGTTGCACAACCCGCCCCTCTACCGTGCAGTGATGATAAGTTACTTGTGTCAGAGTGCCCCGGACAGTCACGAGCGGATAGCTCCTTACCGAGGCTTATGATTATGCAAGCCGAAGAGCGGAGCCCGGAATGCTGGAACCACCACCGCCTCTTCGCAGCAAGCAGAAGCAGCAGCAGCAGCAGCAAATCCTATTCTCTCTGTAGGTCTTAATAAGCCTAGCTTAGCACCGCATTTGCGTCGAGTCCCCGGGATCGAGACGACGGCCTCGCTGCTCAGATGATCGCTCAGGCTCGTCGTCGTCTTTGCCGTCCCGGTTCGGTGCTCGGCGGCCTCGCTGGGTCGACCAATCAGGCCCGGCGACTGGGCTTTGTCACGACTCGGACGGGCTGATGATGATGCGCTTCATCCACACCAGCAGCGTCCCAGTCCCAGTCCCCGTCCCCGTCCCTGTCCTCGTCTCCGTCTCCGTCACAGAGAATGTCAGAGTCCGGGAGGCGGGCTTAATGGCGCCTTGGCACCTAGAGAAAAGGACTCCTCTGGGCCGCGACCTAATGATCTGGCTCCCGATCAGAATTTATATCATCCCCGTCAGTCACATCTCATTACTCCTCGTCGACTCCACGCCAGCCACGCACCCCATCTTCTTGCTACCGTCTTCACCAACCTCGCCCATCTACGTTATTACTCCCCGGCGCTCAACTAAATTGTACACTTGCACTTGCCTTTGCCCCCGCCCTCTCCCTCTCCCTCTCCGCGCCTCTGCTCGGATTGACCTCTGCTCGCTTGCGAAACGGTAGTCGTCCCCCTGCCCCTTCCCCGTCCTCTAAACGGTAGTCGTTCCCCCTCCTCCCCTCCCCAAACTAAACCGCTACCTTGGCGCAAGTGTGCGGCAGGTCCGAGGCCAATTGGGAGTCCGCTCGGCTCCAAATTGCTCCCCGACGACTGTCTGACCGGTCAGGTCAATGTCAGCGGGAATGCCCGGCCTGCGAATGAGCGAGCGAGAAAGAGAGAGAGAGAGACTTGGAGCGAAGACAGAAAAGCGCTACTTTCATCGAACATGGCCGAGCTTTAAAGCCGAGGGGGCGACTGCCGGATGCCACCGCTCTCCGTCGGTGATGTCGGTCGCGGGCATTTTGGCGACGACCGTGGCGGCAGGACCGGCCCGATCGTCGATCGAATCGAAATCGTCCGTCACCCACCTGAAGCGACGTCGGCCCCGGGACCCCACCTCGGCCCCTGTGCTCCTCGCGACCTGGGATGCAAGACGGCGCGGGACGCTTCTCTCGGCGTGCTACTTCCGTTCCCAGGCGTGATGTGGACGGCGGGTCACAGCGGCCCGAACGCTCCCGTCTGACTCCGTCCGTCCCCCGCCCCCGACCCGCGCCACCCCCCAGAAGGTCGGGGCCCCGACGTGCATTCATGCTTCCGCTACAGAAGCCAGCCTGTCTGCCGCTCGGGCTCCCCCGTACCTCGCCCTGTCATCCCCTGTACTGCCCACCCTTCGCGTCCCCCCTCGCCTTGACTTCGACCCTTGACCGGTCAAGTCCAACCCTGCAGTTAGTTGCCTCGACCGGCCGACAGACCTGCACTTGCTTGCTGCCCCCGGTTCTCATTACCTTCACCCTCGTGAGTCGGTTGTGTGCTTACCGGCATCGACTTCCAGACGACTCAGTTGGACTGTTTACGGTAACGCGTAGCGACTGCGAACGAACCCGAGTCAGCGGACTTGACTGAAGGCTCACCGCGATCACCCCAAAACAGGTGACTACCCGGATCTTGTCGGGCTGACCTTGGGGTTGTGTTCACGGTTTAAGGGCTCCACGTGAAAGGTAAGCAAACAGACTTAGCTTTCCTGTTCGACTCCGTGACTACCTTCTGATGAGCAGTGCGCTTCAAATCGGGTTCTACGAAGTGTACATAAAGTCTTCGGATACTTGCCATACGATGATCGCTACTGCTATTGCTATACGACCTTGCATGGCATAATGGTTGTCTCGTATAGATTCGGAGTCTTCACTCCCGTCCAATCTTTAGACAAAGACAAAAGTATACGTACGTACATGGTGGGCTGGCAAGTTGATTGCCGGGTACCGATCCATCACTCACAACCCGGCCTGGTTAGTCTAGTCGGGTGCTAAATGAGTTTAATTTAGTCGCACCAGGAATAGATGTGAGTTTTATTAAGAAATGATGATATATATATATATATATATATATATCATTCATCACTTCAAATATAGTTCTCACTGTCTCTATCAAAACTAAGGAGTTAAACCTCCCAATAGTGACATATATTGGTACTTGGATTTTATGTCACTATTGTGAGTTGTCACTCACAAGAGGAAAGTGCTTATAATCTACTAACATTAACATACATTAGTGTTAAAATGGGATGTCATTGTTGGGAGGTGCATAATTTTAATATTACCTCCTAATAGTAGCATACATTTGTGTTGGGATTAGATGTCACTGTTTGGAAGTGTCAATCATTTGAAAAAAAACTCATAGATTTCTTATACTACATTATATCAATCTTAGTAGAGTCTTTAGATGTGTTGTTTGGTTTCAAAATCGTCTTCATTTGCATATCTGTATTGTTCAAGACTATTAACATAGACATTATAATTATGTTTGAATCCATATTAATACACAAAAACCTGAGTGGAAAAATTGATGAGAATACCTGTAACGAATTATTTTACTGAAATCCAAAAGGAGTGAATTGTTGAGCTATACCTTACAATAAACTTATGCCACATTTTTTTAAGTCTCATAGCTATATATTGTGATCATGATAGGAATTTTTACTCCCAAATTACACTTGAAATTGTCACTATTGAAAAATATCATGTCACTATTGGGAATAGTGACGTACCTTTCTTATTGAGCAGATTTACAAGTTAGAATCTAAAGGTTCTGGAATTTTATGTCACTAATGAGAATATGTCAATCATAAGAAGTGACATTATTGGGAGGTTTAACTCTGTACTACACATCAACAAGTAAGTAGTAATTGATGAAGTTCTATTATTTGCGGACATGCAATTTCATGTCTCATATTGAAGAGGTGGATTCTTTGTGGGTTTTTACTAATAACCTTTATTCCTTGAAGAGCTAATATCGAGTGTTAGTAGAAAAGAAAGTGCAAAAGAAACACAATATTTGGCGATTATCAAGCAAAAATATTCATTTGATGTTTTTCAGCATATTTTTATACATTTCTAGAGAACATATTGTGTGCAAAGCCTCTTCGGTATAATCAATATGGATCTATGACAGATGTGAGAAGATGATAAGTGAAGATGATCTTTTGTGCTCTGTTCTAGAAGATAACAATAATTGGACAACGATAGATTGTGTTTGCTAGCAGATTGTACAGTAGCACTATAATGGAACAATTGGTCCAAATATAGACCCATTAACACCAGATCTAGTACTTTTAATCAATTTTGATTATGCTTGATGAGAAAATTTCCATTCCCTTTTGTTCACATTTAGATGGGCAACGTCAATTTTTTCTTTCACATGCATTTACAACCTGATTGACAAAGTTCACTTCAAATGGTAACAAGCCTTTTACTTTAACTGTAAAAAATAGTTCCTAATCTTAGTACTATTACATTACTCTCGATGATTATGCAACTCCCACACCTGAGTAAAGGGTTGCATGATTTAGGCGTCACAAACTTCGACCGCATACATTCAGCAGGCGTGCTCACAATTGATCTTGCAATCTTACAAAAATTTCTTGTAATCATACCACCTCGTGGTGATGCTATACAGATGAGTAGCAGCAAGCTGTACACACGCAGCCTTCAAGTCATCGAAATCATCGTAAGTGTTTTCGGAAGGGGGGTTCATGGCATGGCGGTACAAAGAATGGGGAGAATCAGAAGACGGAAACAATGCCTATATATATACTAAATATTGGTTATTTGTATCAAAATCTATAAATCGTATATTTTCCTATATTTTTTGAGGTCTTATCCTCCCACCCTGCTCATTTGCTGATCCCATCCTACCCTCCCCTCCCCTTGACTCATCCCCTCACTTTAGATTTCATCACCTTTGTCTTCGCCTTCTAATTTACCCCATTCCTTGTACCGCCAAGTCATGAATACTTCTTCCGAGATCACTTACGACGATTTCGATGCCTTGAAGGCTGCGTGGATATAGCATTCTGCCGCTCATCTCTATAGCATCAACACCAAGCGGTATGATTACAAGATGAGCGTCATATTATTGCACTACGGCAAGTATGGTACACATGATGATTGTCATGGTCTAACAGAGGAGACATGTATAAGTTGGGGGCAAGTGCGAGGCGTCAAGGAGCTAGATAGGCGCCGGGGAAACGTAAAAAGGAGGAAGAGTGGGAAGAACAAATCAGCAGGGTGGTAGTATGAACGCACTATTTCTTGTTATATTACTTCATGGATGAAAAATCACTTTATTCAATATTACCCTAAATTAGAAATAACTTCACTTATCATACTCAGTGGATTGCAATGCATATATATATATATATATATATATGCTCATTCACATTTTCTAATATACTGCACATTGCTAGAAACGTTTAAACCATGAAAAATGAAACTGCTTTTAGTATATATTTCTAGAATTTATTATAAATTTCTACAAATAGATCTTTTAAATACCAAAAAAGGTTCCATTTTGTACTATGAACATATTAATATATGAAATAAATTTTAGATAATCTTAATTTCAAATTTTTATATTATATTGAAATCTCATTATAAATAAAACATCTAATTTCATATTGGATTTATTACAAATGACATCTATAACAACATTATGTATTTAAAAGCTTCAAATATTCCAGATATATTTTGAAGAAAACTATTATATCATTATTTAATATTTTTTTTATCTAACATAAATTAAATGTAAGTATTGTGACAAGATTATGAAATCAACTATGGTTTGAAAAAATGTCATATAATGATTTCATAAA